CTATAGCAGCTACTTTAAATAGAGACAGTAGATAAAACTATGGAACAAAAGATTAAACTCAAATGGTACATATTTCCATGCAACAGATAATGCTAATGAAAAGCGTAAAAGTGAACACCAATGACAAAAAAAAATCTTGATGCTGTTCATACATGTTGAGTATGAAAAGCACAGATCTAGTAATTACTGAGTAACCTAAGGGAACATCCACTGATCTCGTCTTCTGCTATATTACGAAGGTAGCTCAGAACTACATTACTATTGATCTTCTAGTCAACTTCCTGAGCTTCTCTCCAACAAGAAATTTTATACTGTTTTAACTCATAGATACTTTTGCTCTGTCTTTTGATAACTGAAATGACAGGAAAAGCCTTGATGGGCCCTTCCAATCTGATAAACCTTAAAAACAAACAAAAAATAGACAGGGACACAGTACACAGGACATAGTCAACTCTTCATTACCCAGAGTAAATGGAGAAACACAATCACCTGTAGACAGCAAAATCAAATGTGACTTATAAGAGTGTACAACGAGAACACAGGCGGGAAAACACGGGTCACTGTTCCTGATGACTGTGGACTGCAGAGGTTCCCTGGAGATTGTCCACCTAAGCCAGGAGCAGAGCTACTTGGCTTTCAGACCTGAAATGGCTCAAGTAAAGCCAGTATGGGTGTTTCTGCACCATGGTCAATACACAGTGGGACAATGGAAATCCCATCCATCAAGGGAAATACAGAAGTAACTTTTACATAATGATACAGATACATTCGCAGAATCAGGAGAACAAAAATATGCTGCAATTAAATGATTTGCTCAAGTTTTCTTACATCTCAAAAACAAAAAGAAAAAATAGAAGCAACAGTTATGTAATAGCTAATTCTACTCTTATTTTCTATTTTTTTCAGAATTTCCTAGCAGAGATATTTTTTAGAAAGTACAATAGTTCATGCACAATGACAAAATCACACATTGAGATTCTTACAACTTTAACTTTTAATGTGCAATGCTGAGGAAGAGGGATCATCACGTGATACAAAAGAATGGCGATTTATATTTTAATGCATTCTAACTGATGAGTGTTAGAAAACTAAACTTTCTACATTAGTTACAGCAAAGTTCCAGTATTACTTCCAATTATATGTGTTTCTGATATAGCATAAAATGACTGCAAATGCTCATGAATGAGAGAGTGAACATTCTTGGAAAAAAAAAGTCAGTGAATGAAGAATTTTACTCAGCTCTGTACAGTCTTTGTTCTAAACAGTAATTAAATGCTTAACATGCTTTTCCTATCCACATTAATGCCTAGCAGTTCTTATCTCCACAGCTGCTTGAAATGGTTCTCAAAATCTAGGTAGGCATAAAAAAAGAAAATATAGCTTCTGTCTGCTTTTGAGTAACCAAATAAAATGTTGGCAAGCATTCAAAATTTTAATCAGTTTAAACAGATCTCACACTTTAGCAAGGTTAGAAAGAACAGTAAGTTATTATGTAGAAAGCCAAATAAAAATGAGTAAAAGAAAACAAAAGAAAAAGAAATGAAGATGTCATAGGCTAATCTAATGGAAAACAGTAAGGTATTGTTTACTGTTGTATTATTTTAATAATATTAAATTATTCTAATATTTCTGCTCCTTCTGTTCTGCAAATGCTTGATGCGTGACATTATATAGCTTAAAATAACAGCCTGATGTTCTGTGCAATAAGAAAGACTTTATAGGCTAAAAGCCATCTGTTGTAATTACACTCATTTTCTGAAATCTGGACCAAAAACCCTTAGACTTTGTCAATTATGTGCCCTTGATAAAGTATGAGTCATCTTAAAGGTTGGCAAGGAGATGCAATTTTCATGGAAACAGTCTAATGAGAGAACAGATTAAATGTATTCTAAATATGGCCATCCAAATGGTCATATTGATGAAAAGATTCTCAATAAACAGATGAAAATATGGCAGTATAATTCACTCTTTCAGGTCTGAAATTCTGTTGGGTCATATTTTGTACATATTTCACAACTTTTATCTCAAATACTATTTTCAGCACTTTTCTGTGAGATCATTATTTCTGTACGATTATTTGGCAAAATAAATGTTGATTGAAAAAAATGTAAACTGTAAGTTCTGGAACTTCTTCCCACACTATGGTAAGAAATGTATCTCCAGATGCTAATAATTAAGGCATTAAAGGGCAAACCCAGGACCCACTTCCGCAGCTGCAGAAGCTCCCACGGCAGTAAACTGGTGTGGTTACGTCGTTTAAGAGCGTGGGTGGATTGGAAAGGGCCTTTAGTGTTTCTGCACTTCTGCACAGCACGGAAGCCAGATCGAAAAGGATTCTAGAGCGGGCAATGTGTTGGCCCGGGGCGGCACCGGGCAGAGTGGGTACGTGCTTCTCACACATACAGCTATATGAGACATGGAGAAAAGACATTCTCAGCCTTGGGTATCACCAGAGTGGGGGACGGCAGCAGTCTTCTGGCGTTGCTCCTGGCTACATGTATATGCAGAACAGAGGTCTTTCTCTGGTTAAACAACATTCATGTAGGTATCTGTAGTGGTACCTGTTACTTCAGATAATATGTTAGTGGGAGCAGAGTTAGTGAGTTAGTGTTGAACAGAGATGTATTTCAAATACAAAGCCAAATAGCTGGAATGGCCATTTCTAAAAACATGCAGCCAAACAGGAAAGATGCTTCTCTTCTTTTCCCTGACCAGCTTCTCATCTGTTCAGGCATGGGACTTCGTAGCAGGCAGTTTTTATACGAGGTAAGTGTTAAATGTAAAGAAGTGTGGCTAAAAGTTACGCTAGGCTAAAACAGGGAAAGGGATGTTTTAATTACTATTTTAAAAAAAAAAAAACCTGTTCAAACTCTTAAGTACACATTTGAAATCCTCAGACTGTTAACATAACCATCAGACTTTGGTATACATTGATCTTAATTAAATTATTTTTAAATATATTCCAAAATACTTTCAATTTCTTTTCTGAGATGAGATTTTCTAGGTATAGCTATATATTCACCTGCTGAGATACCTCTAATGTCAATAGTTAAATCAAATTCCC